TCTCTTTTTTTTTTTTTTGGAGAGGTTTTTGCTATAGGGTGCATGCGCTCGCCAGAAAGACAGAGAAAGACAGACAGCTAGAAAGCGAGAAATCACCCCCCAGGGGGATGGCCACGCCACAATCCCTTCTCCTCCATTCTCCTCTCGGGATCTTGGGCACACATGCACACGTGCCCGGCATGAGTTTAAGCCTCCGGGTCCGGGACTTGAACCGCAGTCAACTACGTGGGAGTCCGGTGACATAGCCATTACGCTAACTGCTGGTCCCGTACAATGTCTATATTCTCTTTAGTGAGGTATCTCTTCTTGCCATTTGGCTATTTCTAATTGCATTGTTTGCCTTTTTATTGTTGAATTGAGAATTTTCTATGTGTTAGGTACTAGTCCAAAGGACATGCAAATTAAAACCTAACCTGGAAACAACCCAATTGAAAAATAAAAATAAAGTCAGAGGATTTAGCCTACTCAGTTTCAAGGTTTATTATAATTGGGTTGTTGGAAATTCATAATGCATTTTTCTGTTTTTCTATGCAAAAATGTATCATGTTTTTTCAAACAACCTAATATATACAGCTAGAGTAATCAAGACTATGTAGTGCTGGAGGAGTAGCAGACTCAGACTGAAAACTCAAGAGAAGAAGGAAAAGTTATTTATCCATATTTTTGTTTACTGTATTTTTCTAAAATTTATTTCCATTAAGTTTAAAGTGCTAGGAAGTCTAAAATATACAAGTACAATTACACATAAGTGGCTGTTATTTTCAAGTAAAATAGAGTATAATTAGGTATTTGAATGTGACTTAGAGATTCATTGTTGTATGGCATTCACTGATAGCTGACTTTTAAAACAGTGAGTCATCTAATTATTTGAGAGGGAATAGGTACAATCACAAGCAGTGTGTTCTTAGTTTTTGTTTTTTGTTTTTTTGTTTTTTGGTATAGAGGTTTTGGCCTTAGGGCACGTGCGCTCACTGGTGAGAGAAAAAAGGCAGACACAGTAAGAGGGAAAGTGAGAAATTACTGCCTAGGGAGTGATTTGGCCACACCATAATCCCTTCTCCATTCTCTTTCTGGGATTTTGGGTACCATGCACGTGCACCCTGTGTGATTTTTCAAGCCACTGGGTCCAGGACTTGAACCACAGTCAGCCATGTAGGAGTCCAATGATATAACTGCTATGCCATCTACTTGTCCTTAGATTTTTAATCTACATAGCAGCTCTTCATTTATCACTCCTAGCAAAGTTAACTTAGGGGCCAGCCAGGGGCTTCATAGTGAAGGCAGTTGGATTCCACATGGCCACTGAACAGTTTGAGTCCCAGACCCGGCGGCTTGACAAATGCACAGGACACTTACATGTATATGCCCAAAATCCCGAAAAGAGAAGTGGAAGAGAAGGAATCATGGCAAGACCATTCCCCCTGGGGAGTTCTTTCTCACTTTCCGCCTGTTACCTCTCCAGCTAGCGCACACACCATCTAGCACATTTTAAAAAAGAAAAGTTAACTTAAGTAGACCCCTAGATTTATTCTTTTTTTTTTAGAATTATTTAGTTTTAATTTTATTTACTCGTTTATTTATTTTTTCTTTTTTTTATCTTTTTTTTTTTTGGAGAGGTTTTTTTCTGCTATAGGGTACTCCATTCTCCTCTCAGGATCTTGGGCACACATGCACATGCGCGTGGCGTGAGTTTTAAGTCACCGGGTCCGGGATGCAAACCGCGGTCGACTACGTGGGAGTCCAGTGACATAGCCATTACGCTAACTGCTGGTTCCCCTTTATTTATTAAATTTTTTGATGCATTAAATTGTTTTTTTATTTTATAATTTTTAATTTGCATTTAATTGTATATCTTTGTGCCATACAATACATCTTTTTATTCTTTCTTTTTTTATAATTATTTATTTTATTTTGTATTTATTCATTCATTTATTTTTTAATTTGACTAGAGAGAGACAGAGGGTGAGAGTGAGAGAGAGAGAGGAAGTGAGAAAGCAGGCCATCAGATTCAGGACTCGAATCCTGGTTGGCCATGTGGGAGTGTCCAGCACCTTAACCACCTCGTCACCTGCTGGGCCCTTTTTTCTTTCTTAATACAGACAAATTGTTCTTTCCTTAATTTATTCAACAAGTATTGATTGCTTGTCTACTATGTGTCAGGCACTATGCCAGCATGGGGACGACTGCAGTGAGCAACCCATGCTGCCATGCTGCCATGCTGCTAGGGGAACACAGAAAGCAAGCAAATAGCCTTACAATAAATCATGCAGTTACTAGTGCTGTGAAGAAGCCATAGGGTAAGGGGTCAGAGAGGGTACCTGTCTTATTTGAAGAGTTGGGGAGGCCCCTGAGGTGACATGGGAGCAGAGGCCTGAGGGAAGCAAGACAGAGGGACATTCTACACTGGGGAGTCGAAGGCTAGAGCCTGTTTGAAAAGTACCTTCTGTTCTTTCCGTCTTAGAATTTTGTCAGGCTTATTTGTACAGGAAATGGTAGTAAAATGAGTAGATGGACGAAAGAAAAACTCTCCACAACTCGGCTCCAGCCTCCTTCTGGTTTCAAAGTGGTTTCCCTTTGACGTAATGGAAACTGCCTACTTTTCCCAGATTTCCTCATAAGAACTTTTCTTAGAACTTACGTCTTAGACTATAGACTAGTGTTCCTCGCCTTTAAATCAAAATATATTCAGTAATTATCACAGCTTCTCATCTGATAAAAAAAAAAAACAAAAAAACAACAAAGCAAAACATTAACTTCACCCAGCAAGGGCTGTGATTTCTTTACAAATAATTCCTGAGAAAAACAGAGTACCAAGTAAACTAACTATATTCTTGTATGTGATGGCTTCTGTTACTATTAACCACCTGGTTAAGTCTCTTTAAAAACTCTTAATTTGGGACCAGCAGTTGGCATAATGGCTATATCGCTTGACTCCCATGTAGTCGACCACAGTTCGAGTCCTGGAGCTGGTGGCTTAAACTCACACGCTTTCATCTGTTTCTGTCTTTCTGGCGAGCACATGCATCCTATAACAAAAACAAAACAAAAACAAAAAACTGTCTTAATGGAAACAAAAAATTTTAAGTTGCTTCATTGTAATTGAGAAAAAGGACATTGGTTGGGTTCTCCACCTGTCGAAGGAGCTTGGTTAGAGTTGGCTAATCAGTCAGTGAGGGGAGAGTCTTGAAAACCCTTCCCTGTTTATTTACCAACTCTGGTATGACTTTTGGCTTCTGGGGTGTAGGGGAGTAGCTTCCTGTGTGCACAGGAGGGATATCTGAGAAGAGGCCCTTTTTTTCCCCTTGTTCAATCTGTGAAAGCTTCCCAGAGTGAAAATGAAATATTCTAGGGCTGGCTCCATAGTCTAGTGGTTGAGGAAGCTGGATCCCACATGACCAACTACAGTTTGTAAAACAGCTGGGTGCATGTGCATGCATGTCCAGTACCACAGCAGAATGGAAAAATAGAGGAGAAGAAGGTAACTAGTGGTATAGTAGTTAGGGTAGCTGGATCCCACATGGTCAGCTATGTGGTTTGAGTCTTGGACCTGTCAGCTTGAAGAACATGCTGGGAGCATGTGTGTGACTGCTCAAAATCCTAAGAGAAGAACGGAGGAGAAGGGATTGTAGCGTGATCATTCCTCCTGGGCTTTCTCACTTTCTTTTGTCTCTCTCTCTCAAGCACTTGCACCCTATGGCAAAAACTTAAAAAGAGAGAGAGAGAGAAGGGATTACAGTATTACCATGCAACAATTTTTCCCTTTTTGTCTTTCTGGAGTATCTCTGATGAGTGAACATTCCCTCTGGCAATTAAAAAGAAAAGAAAAGAAAAGAAGTACTTCTAAGTATTGATCACCCTCTTGCTGACCTGTTACTAGCAGAAAGATAGACTTTTATATATTTGCCTCTGTACCGCTGATAGAACAGTTTCAGTATGTCATATAGACAGGTGAATGCCCCGATGTTAGCAAGGAGTATTTTCAGCTCAATTGTCATTGTGTAGACACGTTTTCTTTTTCTTTCTTTCTTTTTTTTTTTTTTGGAGAGGTTTTTGCTATAGGGTGCGTGCGCTTGCCAGAAAGATAGAAAGCAAGAAATCACCCCCTAGGAGGGATGGCCACGCCACAATCCCTTCTCCTCCATTCTCTCGGGATCTTGGGCACGCACACACATATGCCTGGAATGAGTTTAAGCCACCAGGTCCGGGACCTGAACCGCGGTCAACTACATGGGAGTTCAGTGACATAGCCATTATGCTAACTGCTGGTCCTTGTAGACAGGTTTTCTACTTGTGAAGTCAGCTTTTACTTTCATGCAGTCTTAAATACTTTATCAATTTATTTGTACAGAAAAATATTATGTTGGATTTATTATACAGAAAATGCCAGCAGGTTGAATAGGTCTGTAGAAGAAAACTGAAGCTTTTTATTTATTTAGGTGGTGATCTGTCTTGATAGCAACACAACATAGTGAGCCGTTGAAAAGCTTTTCCTGCTGTGATTGCATCATATACTAATTCAGAAAGTGTCATATAAGTATGAATGATAGCTTTGAAAGTGGGCTTCTGATTACCAGCTTGTTTTGGTCATTGGTAGCCTGTCCCCTAGGGCCACATCTTCTCTTTATTTGCTCATTTGTGATTGATTTTTTTCCTACATGTTTAGGTAATGATATTCGAACTGGCGTACCACGTGCAGTCATTTCTCAGTGAACATAATAAGCCCCCTCCCAAGTCTTTTCATGAAGAAATGCTGAAAAGACAGGCTCAGGAGGAGCAGCAGAGGCTGTTAGAGGCCAAGAGGAAAGAGGAGCAAGAGGTAAGACATCCTCGTCGAGGCCAGTCAGCCAGCCTGGGGGACTGCAAGCTTCTATTGGTTTTTATGCTCTGTCTGCAGACTCAGCTTTATTTAAGTTTTGCTCTACATTTCATTCAAGAAACATACATTCATTGGACCAGCTCTGTAGCTTAGTGGTTAAGGGAGCTGGATCCCACATGGCCAGCTGTGCAGTTCCAGTCCTTTGTTTTGGTCATTGGTAGCCTGTCCCCTAGGGCCACATCTTCTCTTTATTTGCTCATTTGTGATTGATTTTTTTCCTACATGTTTAGGTAATGATATTCGAACTGGCGTACCACGTGCAGTCATTTCTCAGTGAACATAATAAGCCCCCTCCCAAGTCTTTTCATGAAGAAATGCTGAAAAGACAGGCTCAGGAGGAGCAGCAGAGGCTGTTAGAGGCCAAGAGGAAAGAGGAGCAAGAGGTAAGACATCCTCGTCGAGGCCAGTCAGCCAGCCTGGGGGACTGCAAGCTTCTATTGGTTTTTATGCTCTGTCTGCAGACTCAGCTTTATTTAAGTTTTGCTCTACATTTCATTCAAGAAACATACATTCATTGGACCAGCTCTGTAGCTTAGTGGTTAAGGGAGCTGGATCCCACATGGCCAGCTGTGCAGTTTGAATTGCAGACCTGGCTTGAAAGACACACTGGGTGCATGTGCGCAGGTGCCCGAAGTCCTGACAGGTTGGAGAAATGGAGGAAAGGGGATTGTGGCATAACCATGCCCCATTGGGGTGGGGAGTATTTTCTCCCTCTCCCTCTCTCTCCTACTCTCTGTCCCTCTCAGGTAAGTGCATTCGCCCTCCAACAATTAAAAAATATATATATTCATGTGAGAGAACCTCTAAGAACTGAGAAATGCTGTGAGCAGTTCCCTCTGTATAAATATCAGTGCTCTACCCATAGGACTCTTAGATTAGGATTTTTTTAAAAAAAAGAAGAAAGAGGACCAGCCCATGGCATAGTAGTTAAGGTGCCTAGATCTCACATGGCTGGCCATATAGTTCAGGTCCCACACCCAGTGACTGAAAAAACAGCTGGGTGCACGTGCATGCATGTGTGTGTGCATATGTGTCCAAAATCCCAAAAGGAGGAAATGGAGGAGAAGGGATTGTGTCATGGCCCATCTCTTTCTCCTCTCTCTCTCTCTCTCTCCCTCTGTCCCAACCTTGGTGAGTATACCTACCCTCTAGCAGATTTTTTTAAAGATTTATACTTTCTTTCTTTCTTTCTTTCTTTCTTTCTTTCTTTATATTTGACCAAAGAAGGACAGAGAGAGAGAGAGAAAGAGAAAGGGAGAGTGAGAAAGCAAGCTACCAGATCTGGGACTGGAACCACCGTCAACCACGTGGGAGCCCAGTGCCCTTAACCACCACACCACCTGCTGGCCCCTTTAGCAGATTTTTTAAAAAATAAACAAGAGAGAGAGAGAGAGAGAGAGAGAGAGAGAGAGAGAGAAGCTTTCTGTGTTCTTTCTGAGCTTGTCAAGCAGGAATTCCCTGAGTTTTGAAGACTGTTTTCTTCCCTACGTGAGACATCTCATGGCCAAATGAGTAGCAAAAGCCAGAAACTAAACTACTGTATGTTTACTATTTGTATTTTTTTCTTTAATTTGGTTGCATTAAAAACATAAACTTCTGTCTGGTTTTTAAAAATTGTTTAAATAAAAGTTAATAGAGGAATCTAAATTCCCTTCTTGATTTTTAAAAAATAATTATTTATTTAATTTTATTAATTCATTCATTTTTATTTTAATTTGACTAGAGAGAGACTCAGAAAGAGAGAGAGAGAGTGAGAAAGCAAGCCACTGGGTCTGGGACTCAAACCATGGTCAGTTGTGTGGGAGTGTCCAGTGCCTTAACCACCACGCTACTTGCTGGCCCCCCTTCTTGATTTTAATATAGATTTTTTTTTTTATTTAGCCCTTTAATCAACTTATCTAAAACTTATATTGGTATGTGTTGTAAAAAGAGAGCATAGGTTTATTTTTTTTCCTGAATATTTTCCTAATATTTATTAAGTAATTCCTCTTTAAAAATTTACTGATTTTTATTCATTATAGAAAGCATGTACATGCACATGTTTGGGTATGCATGAGAGAGAGAAGCACCCTTACTAGGGTCTTGTTATGCCTCACCCCTTCCCTCAGCCCTCCAGCTGGTCAGGCTCTCAGGTGTGGGTGCACACGCATGCATATACATGGAGTGTTTCAGGTTGACCAGCCTAGGATTTGAGCGTGTGGTTGGCCATGTGACCCTCAGCATTGAAGCTCAGTATGCTACTGACTATGCTTTGGAGGCTGGGTAAATGATCATCCTTCGTTAAATGATTCCTAATACTTCTTTTAATGTGTATTTTAAGTACTTCTCTGTACTAGGTTTTCTTTTTTTTTTTTTTGGAAAGGTATTTGCTACAGGGCGTGTGTGCTTGCTAGACAGACAGAGAGAGACATAGAGACAGAAAGCGAGAAATCACCCCCAGAGGGGATGGTCACGCCGCAATCCCTTCTCCTCCATTCTCCTCTCGGGATCTTGGGCATGCACGCACATGCGCCCGGTGTGAGTTTTAAGCCACCGGGTCCAGGACGCGAACCGCGGTCGACTACGTGGGAATCCAGCGACATAGCCATTACGCTAACTGCTGGTCCCCTCTGTACTAGGTTTTCTTCATAAATCATCTATTTCATTTAATTATTGTATCCTTGTGAGATATATATATATATATATATATTTTTTTTTTTTTTAATAGAGGTTTTTGCTATAGGGCGTGTGCACTCACCAGACAGACAGAGAGAGACTTTTTTTTTGAGAGATTTTCACTGTAGGGCGCGTGCGCTCGCCAGACAGACAGAGAGAGACATAGAGACAGAAAGCGAGAAATCACCCCCCAGGGGGGATGGTCACGCCGCAATCCCTTCTCCTCCATTCTCCTCTCGGGATCTTGGGCACGCACGCACACGCGCCCGGCGCCCGGCGTGAGTTTTAAGCCACCAGGTCTGGGACGCGAACCACGGTCGACTGCGTGGGAGTCCAGCGACATAGCCATTACGCTAACTGCTGGTCCCTCTTTGTGATATTTTAACAAAGATACAATACAAATCAAATCAAGCCCACCCTTCTCCTTTCCCTTATCTTCCTTTTCTTTTTCTCAACTATTTTTACCCATGTATTCTTACAGATAAACTGTAGGGTTGCTTTTTCATAGTCAGAACAACACACACACCCTCTGGGATTTTTATATGCGTATATTTGTTTAGGGAGAATTGACTTCTCAGCAATATTCAGATGTCCCATCCAGGACTGTTTCTATGTTTTTGTCTTTTGATAAGGCTTTCTGGTTTTCCTTCTACAGATATTACTGTATTTTACAGTTATTTCTAGGGTTTTGCTTTTTCCTTCCTTTATTCTTAGGTTCATATGCATGGCTCCTTTTTTGGTTTGGTTCATTTTCTGCTTAATTTTGTTCATCTTGTGCTTATGGTAACACTCTCTTCTATGAGTGCCATTCATCTTGGTGCTGCGGTGCTGCTTGGCTCCTATTTAAATTTGGAGCCTAGGTATTTTAGCGTTTCTAGTTCCTTATCATTGTCATTGTCTTCAGAAAGGCATTCTTTTACTAGAAGATTTTAATTTTAATTAAAAATCTTGTTTGGGGTATGTGTTTAAATTTCATATTATTGTTACTGTTTTGGTGAGTCTCTTATCGTTTTGATACTTACAATATGAAGTTTTAGGAGGCTATTTAAAAAATGGATAGAGATAAAAACCTCACTCTAATACCAAGAAAGCTGATTGGAGAATGCAGGTGAAGGTCTGTGGTGAGAAGGTGCCTGGCCATGGCCATTCCTCACCCAGCCGTTGAGGACCGCTCAGCCACCTCTCTGAAGCTAGCCTGGACCCCATGTCAGGGAGTGGGTACAGGTGCTTGTTCTCTGCAGACAGGCAGCTCTCGAAGAGGAGGGGCTGAGGTCAGTGTGGGAGACGTAAGAAGCTGACAGTGTTGGAGTTGTGCAAGTCCCTCCACAATGAAAACCTAACGAAGGGGGAGGAAATGCCCTTCCCCATGCAGTCTTACAACCTGTTTAAATGGGAATGCTTTTTATGTAAGTGCTGATAAAAATGATGAAGTTGCAGTTTGTACTAAGGTTCTGTATGCAGGTATTCCTCACTTGATGACAAAGGCCTATGACTAGTCATTAAGCAAATTGGTTGATAAATGAGGAACTTTAAGGTAATGCCTGTGGTGTTCTGGTGCCATAGTGTTTATATTTTTCAGTAGATATTACACCACACCACACTAAATAATGTGGAATAAAAACTATAGAATAAAATAATGTAATTCTATCCATACAAAAAACATGCATTAGGTAAGCACCAGGAAGCCACAAGACATACCACAACGCAGTAACATAAATCTGGTAAAGTCATTTTTACTTGTTTTGAATACTAGTGTGGGTGCACAATAAAATACAAATTAATACATAAAAGATATACTCTTATATAATTTTGAACACTTCATGTAGTGAATACTAACTGACTATGGGAACAAGACAAAGACTGGAAAAGGTGATTCCTGAGACGTACACAGACTGGGGAAGGGTCTCCACTGGAGAATTGGTGGTGAGTCCCAGCATTGGTCATTAAACTGATGGGTCATTAAGTGAGGAGTGGCTATATTCAGATCACTTAAGAAGGTCTTGAGTTATTGAAATTGGGAGATATTTTGTGGTTCCAGAATTTCTATGTTGTATGGGTTTCAGAAATAGGCATTTGATGGCAGTTTGGTTTATTTCAGCAACGTGAAATCCTGCATGAGATTCAGAGAAGGAAAGAAGAGATAAAAGAAGAAAAAAAGAGGAAAGAAATGGCCAAGCAGGTACTCTAAATTCCACCATACTAAAATGAATTACTGTTTTACATTTTGCTAAACATAAAATGTTTTTATTTCCATTGATGATAATTTTCCTTTCCATGTTACTGTCAGTAATGAAGTTTAAACTGAAGCACTTAAAAAGTGCAAAAATGTTGGGCCAGCAGGTGGCATGGTGGTTAAGGACTGGACTCCCACATTGCTGAGCAAAGTTTGAGTCTTCGGACCTAGTAGCTTGCTTTCTTACTTTCCCTTTCTCTTTATGTCCCTCTCTGGTCAAATAAAATGATAGTAATGTATATGGAACCAGCAGATGTGTAATGGTTGCATTGCTGGACTCCCACATAGTCGACTGCTATTCAAGTCTTGGACCTGGTAACTTAAAACTCACGCCAGGCGCATATGCATGCATGCTAAGATCCTGAGAGATGAATAGAAGAGAAGGGATTACAGAATGGTCATCTCCTCTAGGGGGTGTTTTCTCACTTTCTGTCTCTCTCTGTCCAGTGAGAGCATGTACCCAATAGCAAAATTATCTCTTAAATAAATAAATGAAATGAAATAATTCTTTTTTAAAGGTTCAAAAATATCACTTATTGTGTATTTTAGATTCCCCAAATAGGTGGTAAAATTTAGAGTTATATATTATCTGTAGATGAGTTAGGATTTTATTATAGTAATTTATCAAATGGGTTGAGAGAGAGGAGATTAAAGCTTCAATAATTTACCTGAATTAGAATTCTTTTCCTTTTTTTTTTTTAATGAAAGCAAAGTGAAGAGATAAAACAAGCATTTCTGACAGGCCCCCTGTGTGTCCTGATCCTCCTTCCCCAGTCTCTCAATTAGCTGAGATTACAGGACATGCAGCACACCCGGGGAGTTCATGTAGGCCTAGGAACCTCACCTGGGCTTATAGCATTGGTTTTACTGCCTGGGTCTGTGACCTTTGACAGGTGACACTTACTGTGACTTGTTATCCTCATCCCTTAAAATAGGACCTATGGTATGCTTGTTCTGTCTTGCTGTCACAGACAACGTACTGCCCTATGTGAAGTGTAAAGCTGTGTGCAGATGTGAAATGCTGGTCCTGTTTCCACCAGCTCTTCTGTCTTGTCTGATCAGCCTTCCTGTCAAGCCACACTTAGCTCCCTCTTCAAATCCTTCTCTTCATCTCTTTTGCTCTTCTGACTTTTCCCAGATATTCCAAGATTCTAGCATTTTCATTTAAAAAATTCAGTCTCGAAACTGTAACTTGGACTTGAATTCTTGAACCAATATATATATTCGGACATTAAATTTATTTTGAGTACAACCTCATTAATACTTGTTTTTGGTTATTTATTTATTTACTTACTTAAGAGGTTTTTGCTACAGGGCGCTTGCGCTTGCCAGACAGACAGAGAGAGACAGAGAGACAGAAAGCAAGAAATCACCCCCCAGAGGGGATGGCCACACCGCAGTCCTTTCTCCTCCATTATGCTCTGGGGATCTTGGTTATTTATTTATTTACTTACTTAAGAGGTTTTTGCTACAGGGCGCTTGCGCTTGCCAGACAGACAGAGAGAGACAGAGAGACAGAAAGCAAGAAATCACCCCCCAGAGGGGATGGCCACACCGCAGTCCTTTCTCCTCCATTCTCCTCTCGGGATCTTGGGCACACACGCACACGTGCCTGGCGTGAGTTTAAGACACTGGGTCCGGGACTTGAACCATGGTTGACTGCATGGGAGTTCAGCGACATAGCCATTACACTAAGTGCTGGTCCCAACCTCATTAATACTTGTAATCATTCAACTTAAACAACTTGCATTGTACACTGAATTGGTAATTATGTACCACGATTGTCTTTCATCTATGACTTACATCTTACTTTTCTTTTTCTAGGAACGTTTGGAAATTGCTAGTTTGTCGAACCAAGATCATACCTCTAAGAAAGACCCGGGAGGACACAGAACAGCTGCCATTCCACATGGAGGTTCTCCCGACTTTGTAGGAAATGGTAAATATCGGGCCAACTCCTCCGGAAGGTCTAGGTAAGTCTCTGGGATGTCTGACCTGGGAGGGTGCAAGATGTAGAAGGAGTAAGACAACTTGTAGTGAAATTTGATGTCATTTTGGGTAACATTCTTAATAACTTTTTTCAAAGCCTATATATTTGAATATATTGGTAATCAGTACCAAACAAAATTTCACACTAAGTATTTTTGAGGAAACCAACTTGATACCTCATTCCCCTTTATAATAGCCTATGACATCTCACTAACTTGCCTTCAGTACAGTTTGGTTTGACTTCAAATGACCTGTTTAATAAGTTAGTTAAGGATTTTGTTTTTCCGTTGAGGCATGTTATGTGTGTGTTACATCCCTTGGGAAAAGAACCCCAGGATTTTCCCTTCTGTGTGTTTTTTGTCTTGCTTCTTCATCGTCTATGATACAAATGAGGTTGTCAGAACAACACAACCAAACTGACAGGATGGGAGCAGATTGTTCTGCTATTTTTCTAGATCTCAGAGTTGCACATCATAGAGGGGGCGAATCACTCTATACTTGTTTAACCCGCCTGTGAGGGTCACAGCAACCTTCCTAGCTCTGTGATCATTAAAGATCAATGTAACCATGCTTTATTATCTCAGCTAGAAACCAGGCAGTGACTTTGGAGCACAGCCTAATGAGAAGTTGGCATTTGCCTCTTTTTGGCATTGTTCATGTCTTTAGAGTTTGAGCCAGGACATTCATATGCACCATTATGGCAGCATAGAAAGATGGAAAAAAAAAAAAAAAAAATGGGCTTATGAGGGATTTTTAAAGTTTTCTCCCATCTGAGTCATCATGATTGAATCAAATTGTACACTGTATGTGCTTCAGTCTATAGCCCCTTAGGTCCCCCAGAGGCATGGGGGCTGCTTCAATATGGGCACAGGTGTGGAGTATCTCTTATGAGAATAGGAACCCCAGTTTGCTGCTAGGGTTTCTGTCTCTTGCTACAGAGGTGTTCTTTGGGGTTGTTTCTTGTCACCAGAGGTTGCCTGGAAGATACTACTACTTCCTCTACATTTTTTTTTTTTTGAGAGGTTTTTACTATAGGGCACATGTGCTCGCCCGAAAGAGAGAGAGAAAACAAGAAATCACTCCCCAGGGGAAATAGCCACACTGCAGTCCCTTCTCCTCCATTCTCCTCTCGGGATCTTGGGCATACACGCACATGCTCCCAGTGTGAGTTTAAGCCACCAGGTCCAGGACTCGAACCACAGTGGACTACATGGGAGTCCACCACATAGCCATTACGCCAGCTGCTGGTCCCTCCTCTACATTCTTTTTTACTAAAGGATTTAGACTTCCCTAGACCAGCAGATGATGTAATGGTTATGTCACTAGACTACCATGTAGTCAACTATGGTTCAAGTCCCAGACCTAGTGGCTTAAAACTCACGCCAGGTGCATGTGCGTGCATGCCCAAAATCCCAAGAGGAGAATGGAGAAGAAGGGATTGTGGCATGGCCATACCCCTTGGGGAGATCTGTCCATGTACTTCTTTAGCTATCATATGTGTCTAATCCTGACCATCAAGAGCTCTCTCTCTTGCCTCTTTCCTGCAACCTGCTCCCGTAATTTATTCATTACTTTTGCACTGTAATCTAGATTCCTAGCTATTCCTCTGCACCTGGTGGGGGGAAAGTAGCAATAAAGAAAGAGAGGAGAGGTTAGGTTCTTAGTGTTTGGGGAAAGTCATGAAGGGAAATGACAGGAGTACAGTATCCATGAAAGGCAAGTAGCAGAGCAAATGGTTGGGACCCAGTTGGAAACTGGGACTTTGTAGTCATACCAGATGTGCAGCTTTCTCCAGATGAGTGTGCAAGGGAAGAACTTGCTGTGGTAACGGAAGTGTTTTATACTCGTGCTGTTCAATATAGTGTAGCTTTTGGGTACTTAAATGTTGCTATCAGCCAGCCCTGGCAGCACAGCAGTGACACAGTGCTCTGTGATACAAAGGCCACATGCCAAGGTCCCAGATTGCATCCTGAAGATTCCCTGTTCATAATGAGTGCATGTGCATGCCCGTAATCCTGGCTAGCTGACGCTGGGGGTGGATCATGGTGTGAAGACCCTGTTGGGGGTTCCTGTCTCTCTCTCTGTCTCCCTCTCTCATGGAAGAAATAAATAAACTTTAAAAAAATATGGCTATTGCACTTGAACTGAATATCTAATTTAACTTTAAATAGCCACAGGTGTCTGGTGGCTACCACATTGGGCAGCATAGCTCTAGACTGGGATGTGTAGAATTTATTGGGAGATGACAGCAGGAAATGAGGGGTGGTTTGAACAGTTTTCCCGTTAGAACCTTTGACTCCATCCCCAGCAGACAAAGGTGTTTGATGTGAATGGACTAATAAGTAGGAGAAAACAGAGGGATAAGAATTTTCTGTTAATCTTAAAGAAAAAAAAAATCTTCTGAATTTATTTCTAAGGCGAGAACGTCAGTATTCTGTATGTAGCAGTGAAGATTCTCCTGGCTCTTGTGAGGTCCTATATTTCTGTACGGGTAGTCCTGATCCCCTCATGGTGCACAGAGGGAGATGTATTGGTGAGTATAGTAGCAAAGTTTATTTGAATTATTGTAACAACAGTCAATCATGAAAGAATGGGGTGGGATAGACAGGACACTGTGTTGGTCCCAACCAGCTCAGTACCAGGGAGACTATCGAGCCAGTAGTCCATCTCAGCAGCTTCCATTCCTAATGACTGGAATGAAGAATCACCCAAGTTCTGATGTAAGGTGGAAATAAAAATCCTATGCTCTCATAAAGATAATTTTTAATTTTCACGATCGTATTTATCCCAGCTTTTTGAGACAAAAAAAAGGTTAAAATATTATCAATCAGTAGCATTTTACATCACATGTATCTAATACTTATAAAATACATGTGGGACCAGCCAGTGGCATGGTAAAGGCAGCTGGATTCCTCATGGCTGACTGTGGTTCAAGTCCCGGACTGAGTAGCTTGAAAAACATGCTAGCAAGTGCATACACTCTATAGAGAAAAAACAGGGAAAAAAACAAAACAGACATGTAATGAGTTCTAATGCCTGTGATCTTTATTGGCCAAATCTTATTTTAAGTCATTGTGCATCTCCTTGGCATTTTCTTGCTTGGTGTATACCTGACCAGGAAAATCACTTTATCCTTTTATTTAGCAGTTTTATCTACTGCTAGCTATTTGAGATGAAGCCGATTCAGCAATTCAGGATTTAAATTGCTTATATTTAAATTGAGGTTTGGGAGCTAGCAGATGGCATAATGGTTATGTGGCTGGACTCCCACCTAGTCAACCGTGGTTCGAATCCCAGACCTAGTGACTTAAAACTCACGCTGGGTACATGTGTGTGCATGCCCCTCACACGTGTGTGGCGTGGCCATCCCCCCAGTGGGTGATTTCTAATTTTCTGTCTCTCTGTCTCTCCAGTGAGCACATGTGTCCTATACCAAAACCCTCCCTCTTAAAAAAAAAAAAAAAAAAAAAGAGGTTTTGATATCTACCTCCTTTACCCTAAAACTATGCCATGTTTTTCAGCCATACAGATCAAACTGCCCGTTGGTGTAGGGATCACTTGCACATAGTAAACTGACAATTAACTTTAATGTTTAATCCCATAAATACTGTATTCTTACCAAACAGGTAACTAAATTGTCAAAGTTGAGTTTGCTTTCTTTTGGCATCTTCTCCCCTTCCTCTTTAAGGAGATAGAGATAAGGAAGAGAGTCTCTAGGAACTGGCAGCAGATGGAGGGAGAAGAAACCAAACATCTGAATAGAAGTCGGACTTGGAAGCACCTCTCTGACTGGCTGAGCGCAGCTGGACAGTACAGGCTTCAGCACATGCACAGAGCCACCATGTTTGGTCAAAGCACCCATCTGGGCAGAGATGGTTGGCTCTGGACCTGTCGCTGTCTTTGACTCGGGCATTTCAGATTCGCAAATTGACAACATAAAACTCACTACTATGATAACCTGGGGAAATCAGGAAAGCAAATTACTCTAATTGCTTATTACCTTATTTTGGTCTTTTATTCTCACTGGTACTCATTAGGCAAATTCACCTCCATTAATACCCTCATTAGAAGGTACATTAGCAATTAGAGAATTTTTTTATAAAACCACAAAGTAAATTATTTACTTTTTTCTCACAATGGGTCTATTTTTTAAAATACACACTAATTTTCTATGAAATGCATTAATGAAAAAAATCAAGTAATTTTAAATGAAATATAAAACAATATTTGTTTTTCAGTTTAACATTATGGAGCTAAAGACAATAAAGAATTTGCCTCTGGATATGGATACGACACTAAAGAGACTAAATATATAATCATTGTTAGCAGTGTTTTGTTAGCATTGTTAGTTTCAGTCAAAGTACTTTGGTGAACATATTTTCTTTAACTTTATTGCATTGTGTCCTTGTGTCCATTTTATTTTCATCATGAGAGAGTGTGCAATAATAAAATTATTAAGAAGAGTGTGCAATAATAAAGTTATAATAATTTTTTGCAAGAATTATTTTATTTAACTTTATTTATTTATTTTAATTTGACCAGAGAGGGAGGGACAGAGTGAGCGAGAGAGGGAAAGTAAGAAAGCAAGCCACCAGGCTCAGTACTCGAACCTCAGTTAGCCATGTGGAAGTCCAGCACCCTTAACCACCACACCACCTGCCAGCCCCAAATTATAATAGTTTTTCAAACTTATTTTTTTAATTGCCAGAAGGTATGTGTGCTCTCTAGAGACAGAAAGAAGGAAGGAGAGAAAGAAAACACCCACAGTGAGGCATGATCATGCTATAGTCTTCTCCATTTCTCCATCCTTTTGGGCTTTAGGGCATACTCTTACATGTGCCTGTCATGTTTTTCAAGCTGCCAGGGCCAGGATTCAAACAACAGGGTTGGCCATGTAGGATCAGGTGCACCCTTAACCACTAAGCCACAGGACTGGTGCAATAATTTTTTTAAAAGACCAGTAATGATGAGGCACAATGGTGATGGTGCATGCTGCTAAGACACTGTGTTCCCCAGGCCGGGACCACATGGAAGGCCCAAGTTTAACTCCCCGTTCAACCTAAACACCAGGTGTGGTGGCATGCAGTTTTAGTCCCAGCCAAGAAGCTAAGTCAGGAAGATGGTCACATAGTGAGATGCTGAGTTAGCAAACAAGCAAACAAAATGACTAGCAATTATGAAATGCCTACCTAGTCCCAGTTGTGAAGATAAATATTTTAAGATAGTGCAGTGTGTAATACACAAATTTAATTAGGCTTTATGTAAATAGCTCTACCCATCTCATGAACATTTAACATATGTTATGTGTCTACAATGGACTGCTTAGCCACATTTCTTGGGTTGCTTTCTTTCGTTGACATGTTTTCATACATCAGTTTTTTCTCCTTAGGTTAAGACTGTCAGGAGTTATCTATGACTAACATAATAGATCTTTTTAATTAAATTCTCTAAATGATCAGCATTTCTGTGAAGTAAAAATTGGTTCTCTGATAAAAAGTTTAAAAAAAAAAGTTTATTTATTTATTTATTGTATGAGAGAGAAAGAACGACAAATAGCCCAACAGCTTTTTTTTTTTGGAGAGATTTTCACTATAGGGAGCGTGTGCTCACCAGACAGACAGAGAGAGACATAGAGACAGAAAGTGAGAAATCACCCCCCAGGAGGGATGGCCACGCCGCAATCCCTTCTCCTCCATTCTCCTCTCGGGATCTTGGGCACGCACGCACACGCGCCCGGCATGAGTTTTAAGCCACCGGGTCCGGCACGCGAACCGCGGTCAACTACGCGGGAGTCCAGTGACATAGCCATTACGCTAACTGCTGGTTCCCTCTGATAAAAAGTTTTATATATACAGGTTACTATACTATCTATTAATTAATTCATTAGAAGGCACATATGCTCTCCAAAGAGAGAGAGAAAGTGAGAAAGCACTCCCCACCAGGGGGGACAGCTATGCCATAATCCCTTCTCTCCATTCTTCTCTTAGGATTTTGGGCATCCACACACAAACATCTGGGCCTGTTTATCACGTCGCTGGGTCTGGGACTTGAACCATGAAGTCATCTATGGGATCCAGCCACCTGAACCACCATACTACTAGCAGACCTACTTTTTAATTTTTAAATGGAAAAAAAATTATTATAACTGTCTCTTAAAAAATTCTTTTTTTGTTGTGAAAATAAAGTTGCATTATGGAAAATTTTTGTATTAAGAGAAAAAAGCAGATTATATATCAGCAGTTCTCAGCTAGGGGTGATTTTTGAAGCTTAGGGAATGTTCAATAATCTTTGCAGATATTTTTGACAGTTAAGACTGACATGAGGGTGCTATTGGCAGCTGGTGGATAGAGGCTGGGGGGGGCGG